TGAATGAGTTTTTAGATGGATTTCCGAGATTGTATTACAAGAAAATACCAAAGGAAACATTACGTGAGGGTTTTTCAAAATGAAGCAAAATACCAAAGAACCTCTGGGACAATACGATGACCCATTTAAAAAAAAAGATCATCCTATATCTTTTGCAAGTGTTATATTTTGCCATAGCAACTAAATTGTAGGAGTTTTTTTTTCAAGGGATATTAGGGCCCGGCATGGCCATGTGATTAAGGCGCTCGACTCGTAATCTGTGGATCGCGGGTTCGAATCCCCGTTACACCAAACATGCTCGCCTTTTCAGCCGTGACGGTCAATCCCACTATTCGTTGGTAAAAGAGTAGCCCAAGAGTTGGCGGTGGGTGGTGATGACTAGCTGCCTTCCCTCTAGTCTTACACTGCTAAATTAGGGACGGCTTGCGCAGATAGCCCTCGTGTAGCTTTGCGCGAAATTCATAACAAACAAACAAACAAACAAGGGATATTAATGTTATGTTGAAAAACCGAAACGAAGCCGAGAGTCTGACAGAAAATGTGATTGATTGTGAAGTTGCTGTAAAGAAATTACTTTACTGAAAAATTATCACTACAGATTGTGCTGGGTCAGTCTAAACATCGACTTACTTTTGAAGTTCGTTACTTTACTGAAAATGATCACTACAGATTGTGCTGGGTCAGTCTAAACATCGACTTACTTTTGAAGTTCGTTACATTACTGAAAATGATCACTACAGATTGTGCTGGGTCAGTCTAAACATTGACTTACTTTTGAAGTTCGTTACTTTACTGAAAATTATCACTACAGATTGTGCTGGGTCAGTCTAAACATCGACTTACTTTTGAAGTTCGTTACTTTACTGAAAATGATCACTACAGATTGTGCTGGGTCAGTCTAAACATCGACTTACTTTTGAAGTTCTTACGAACCTTTGGATAATTTTTGAATATATGGTGAAGAATATCAAACTGCTCATCAGGATATTTATAGATTGATTCCTGGTGAAATGGCGCAACTAATTATTTGCACTTTGCTAAGGTATGGTGGAAAACTATTGAGCACACAGCTACTTCATTGCTTTACTGGAAGACGCCGGTTATCTTTCCTGGCAAACAAAATGTTGATCAGGGGATATCGCTAATGGTAATTTTCCAAATAGTCAACAAAAACGATGTTCTAGATATTTGTTTGAAGTTAAACACAGAGCTACACAATGGACTATATGTACTCTACCCACCAGGGGTATGAAAGAACAAAGTATTTTTGGCACATCGCGTCTATAATAAAACACCCCGTGGATATCACTAGGCAATTACAATTACATGCTCTAGATGTATAAGATATGATGTGATAGAGAACAGTAAGATGTGTCGGAGTAATTTATCTCAGATGTCAGGCTTCTTAAAGTTAAACCACCGGAGCCTCGAGTAATGTTTTTTGGTTTACGGCCGAGAGTGTCGTTAAAAGTGGTATTGCTCAACTGGTTAAACAATGTATTTGAATCGTTTTAAGTAAGAATATAACAAAATTATACTTAATTAACCGTATTCATTACCGAGTTGATTATATTTTTGGTTTGAGTCGGTAGCTTGCTCTGATTGGAAGATAATATTAAAAATGAATCCTTTGGCTTGACAGTATTCCGAGAAATTGTGAATGAACTAACAAATATCGTCATACGTCGTAGAATCTAAGAATATTTTACTTGATGCTGAGAGCAAAGCTATACAATGGGCTTTCTGTGCTGTGTCTACAACAGTTATCGAAACCCGTTTTTTAGTGTTATAAGCCTTCAGACCACCCCCTGAGCCACTGAGGGGCATAATAGATTATGTAACTGGGTTACTGGTTAATGATCCAATGGATAAAATGCAATGGGTTATTCAAAACAGGGTAGGACCAGAGCAAGAAAAGGTCTTGAAAATGACTACGTTTCGCCGAACTTTTTTTTTGTTAAAAAAATCTTCATTGAGCATGTGTTGTATTAAGGATGGTCTTTCAAATCAAACAAGAGTGAATGTAATCACAAGAACATAGAGTTATTGATAGGGAAGAATCAATTACTACTGTTCTTGTAGTGGAGGATAAACTCCAAGGTTAAGTTTTGGTGTTCAGAAGGGCCATAAACCATACTGACAAAAATCAGGGATGTGTATAACAGAATCAGCCACAACTGTTCTTGATGATAATGTAGATCTTCATGGGGTTAAAGTTTTAAATCAACAAAGGCTAGTATCAGAACTGCACGATCAATTCGATTCTGTTTGTTTGGAATTTTGTGTAAAGCTACTCGAGAACTATCTGCGCTAGCCGTCCCTAATTTAGTTCTGGTAGACTAGAGAGACGACAACTAGTCAACACCACTCATCGCTAACTCTTGGGTTATTATTTTACCAACAAATAGAGGGATTGACTGTAACAATTATAACACCCATACGGCTGAAAGGGCGAGCATGTTCAATCTCACGACACGCATATTGCGAGTCGAGCACCCTATCCATGCCAGGTCGATGGACGTGAAACGTATTGTAAAATTAGCAGCAAAAACAAACTATTGATGCTTCTGTTGTTGTAGTTTGCTTTCCATCTACCAACAGATAAAGTTTTTAGGTGATCCCACCCTTGAACACCATACATCTCATTGACTATGAGAAAAGCATGGTTGTTTGAGAAAAAATCCAACAACTTTCATACTTTAACCTTTAATCACTTTAGAATATTCAACATTGTCTAAAGTGTCAACCTGCCAAAATTGTTTGAGATTGACTCAATATACTGGGAGTAATTAACAAACAGGTTTTACAAAATAGATATAGGGTTATGTTCAATTTTGACCCTCTTAGGACATTTCCCATAGTTCATAGCGTTTACTTACAAATTTTGGTTGAGATTGGCCAAATAGGCTAAACGGAGTTAGGGTGCAAAAAACACATATTTCGCCTTTATATATATATTTTGTATACAAGTAGAATAAAAATTATATTCAGTTTATTCATACTAAAACTTAAGATCACGAGTCTCCATGAAATGTGCTTGAAGCTATTTCTGCGATGGTAACTAAGTTGAACATGAATGATTCATTCTTTTGAATTGCCGATCAGAAGGAAATCAACCTACCTGCAGCATCCACCGCCAACTTTTGGGCTACTCTTTTTACCAACGAATAGTGGGATTGACCGTCACATTATAACGCCCAGACGGCTCAAAGGGCGAGCATGTTTGGTGGGACGAGGATTCGAACCCGCGACCCTCAGATTGCATGTCGAGCGCCTTATCCACCTGGCCATGCCGGGCCAGACTGTGAGTCGAGCATCATAACCACTAGGCCATGCAGGGCCAGACTGTGAGTCGAGCATCATAACCACTAGGCCATGCTAAGTGAACAAGTAAGCTGGCCTAATGAATGATGTAAATATTTTTTCACTTGATCAGATTCAGAAAAGGGATTCAATAACAGTAAATTTGGAATAATTTTGTCCATCTTTCCAGCCTCAATGCTTCTCTTATTCACTTACATGCAATCGTAAGCTGCTTATTGTAACTCTTAGGACATCTTGTGAGAATTTAGAATATTCAGGAGAATACTCGTCAAATAACAACAGAAACCTGAAAAAACAAAACTTGTATTGGAGAAGAGAAGGGTAACGAAGAGACTAGTAATAAAAAAGAGGAAACACCTGAACTCGGTGGTGCTTCCCAAAAGGCCCCTCAATGGCACAGTGGAATGTCTGCGGACTTATACTGTTGGAAACCTGGTTGTGATACCCGTGGTGGGCAGAGCACAGATAGCCCTTTGTGTAGCTTTGTGCTTAATAACAAACAAACAAACAAAGCTTCCCCAAAGTATTTTCATTGTGCTTTTTATCATGTATTCAAATAATCTTGGAAAACACCTTGCAAAGAAGCTGGAAATGTTATGTTCAAGATACTAATCCAAACGAAATTAAAAAGCATTCTGTTCATTGCAAAGCGAGTTACTGTACAATTACACCACTTTTGGGCTGTAAACATCGCAGATGGAAAATAAGAACCACAATGGTTTCACATTCAGTGTTAAGATTATATAATGCCTGTAATGTTTCGACGGGTTTGTCACCCCAAGCCTGGATAATGTTATGAGATATATGCTCAATTATCAGAGGGAACAACGTGTAATAAAATATCCAGGCCGATGGTTTTTATCAAGTGAATTCGAAGTCTGGAAAGAAATTGGGAAGTTGTGGGGTTTGCCGCAGAAATGAAAGGACCGGAGAACGGAAACTACTGTGAAACGAGGAAGGAAGTAGATTCTAAGTTCAAGGAAGTAATCATAAGTATATCTGATGCAGGAGTAAAATCTCGAATTGTCTTACAGAAATTCAAAGAAAGTTTTAATAACTGAATGGTAGATGGATTCCCAACTGACTCACAGGAAAAATTATAATTGATTTGTTTTTGTACTTAAAATGTAGGAATTACTTAATGGTGCCGAAAATTAGTATTTCATCTTGAAGTTCATCCATTTCCAATTTTTAAAACAGTTTGTAAAGATCATCCTGTGTACTTTGTCTGTACTGCTTTTATTAAAATGCATTTGGTTATATTTTTTGCTGAAAGATATGTTTATGATCAAACTTGCTCTAATGAATGGAAATCTAAAGTCACCTAATTAGGTCAGTTTTAGTTTTATCTTGGTTTTGAGCGCTTCATACCTAACCGACATGTTTAACCGACATAACTAAGAGGATGAGATGATGCGAAAATGTTATCATTACATTTCAGGAACTTCCATAGGGTTAAGTTGCAAACTCAAATTAATATTACAAAGTGTATTTAATACTAAGTATACACCCGCAGAAAACATTCCTAAACTTTAGAAGATTTATTTGTGAGCTCATTTTGAAACTCCGGATTGACATATAAAAGTGATAACCACACGATTATCGTGTTTTACAAGATATTCCTCAAAGCACTACACTCTACTTGTAGGCTATGGACACATTTCTCCAGATACTTGGCTAGGGAAGGTTGCTACCATATTGTATGCCGTCATAGCGATTCCACTACTTTTGGTGTTCTTGGCGAATATTGGTGATTTCATGGCTTCGACTTTTCGCTACGTTTACAGCCGACTGTGCTGTCGATGGTGTCGGTCTCGAAGGAAAATTTCTGAATACCTAAAGAAAGCCAGAGCTGGAGCAAGAATTCCTTCAGTAAACGAAGATGCAGTCGGTAGAGAAGAGTACATGCCCACTGATAAGGTAAGGGACTTCATTCGATTTTTCTTTCACGCATTAAAAAGCAAAAATAAATATATAAACACACACACACACACATATATATATATGGAACTATTTGGAACTTTCTTCCCATTCTAAATTAAAAGGTGATTTTGTGAATAAGACACAGTTATTGTTCATTTTAATATCGAAATGTGATAGAAAACTGAGAGTTCACAACTTTTCAAAATATTTTACATTTTGATTAATTAACTAGAAAAGATTTTCCAGAGCAATAGTGATTAAAAACCTGAATATTTGGTCTTTATATTTTCGAGAAGAAATGTTTAAGTTATTTACATTCGGGAGTATTTTTTGTTCTAATCGCTTTCAAAATCCTTTCATTTGTAACACAGATGCAATTAAATGGCAGACTTCCTAATTCAGTTGTAACACAGATGCAATTAAATAGTAGACTTCCTAATTCAGTTGTAACACGATTTTGATGAATTAAGACATTTTATGAAAGAACTAAAGTTGCCCTAAACAAAAACAAAGAAACAAGCATACTTGTTCAGCTTATTTACCATCGCAGAAATAGCTTCAAACATATTTGATACCATGGCTCTATCGATCTTTAAAATTGTGTAACTGAATTAGGAAGTCTGCCATTTAATTGCATCTGTGTTACGACATAATTAGGAAGTCCGCCATTTAATTGCGTCTGTGTTATAACTGAATTAGGAAGTCTACTATTTAGTTGCATCTTTGTTACAAGTGAATTAGGAAGTCTGTCACTTAATTGCATCTGTGTTATAACTGAATCATGAAGTCTATCATTTAATTCATCTATATTAATAAAATATTTTAAGTTTACAGTCTTTCTAAACATGATTAAAAAATACGAACGTGGTTATTACGTTTTAGGATGGAATTTTAATTCATAGATCAAATGTTGAAATTTGTTTGCTTCTCTTTATTCTAGTGATCTTCAATTAAAGATGTTTAATTTTTATGCCCTGATAAAGAAATTAATGTTCATATTCTTTCAGGTGATTGTACCAATCGTTTTAAACTTGCTGTTGATTTCCTTCTATATATTGCTGGGCTCTTTAATGTTTTCTTACTGGGAGGAATGGGATCTTGTTAGCTCTGCATATTTCACCTTTGTTACCCTCAGCACCATCGGCTTCGGAGATTACGTCCCAGGAAATTCTTTCATGGATTATAAACAAGGCACCAGTAAGTAGTGAGATTGTAAACCAGTAGTTTTTAATTTAAGAACTTTTAATCTACCCTCCCTCTACTTAACTTATTTCTTTAACAAATGTTGAAAGTTTGGTTGGTATTGCGATAAACTGTTTTTTTTTTATATTTTAATTTAGATGTTTGTTTGCTAGAGGGAGCTAATTATGATGATTATGTAATATATCTATAACGTTCGTGAAAGTTAAGGCCTCTTTAGAATATAGTAATTTCGGGCAATATGTAGAAACAAGGGAACAGTATAAACACAAGATCCAGTGAAGCAGTCAGTTCATGAGCAGTTAAAGATTAATGTGTTACAGAGTATTTAACGAGTGAGTCTGTTTGTTTTGCAATTAAGCACAAAGCTACACAATGGGCTATCTGTGCTCTGCCAACCACGGGTATCGAAACCTGGATTCTAGCGTTGTAAATCTGCAGACATACCGCTGTGCCACTGGGGGGCACGAGTGAGTCAGTTAATGTCGCATCTGTTATTAAGGAAATTCATGAAGTACATTTACCTGTAAATTTGGGGAAGGTAACATTAGTATCATAGTTTCTATTGAAACGTTGTTTATGAACTTAGAGCTACAACTTGTGTAAAGTAGTAAATGTTACTGAATGAATAAGTTGATACGTTATTGTTAAATGTATTGGACTTGCATCATTTTTACCAAATGATCTAAAAGAACGCCCGCTTAAATACAGAACAAGTTTCAACATTGATGTCAGGAGTGGGATTATTTTTGTGAAAATAAAACAGTATGACAACATGCTAGAAATGACTGAACACCCCAAGAAGGTAAAAAAGAACGAGATAGGAAAATAAAAAGAAATTTTCCGAAAATTACCAGATTTTACAGAAGTCTTAATTTTCATGAATTTCCTAGATATAATATGTCATCAATATGATTAGCTCCCTAAAGTAAATAAAAAACTTGAATAAAAATATTTAAGGTATAGCTTACCATAGTATGATGAAGGTATTATCCGATTAATAAATTCAAGAAAAAGACGCAAGGTTTTGTTAATATCCAAAAATATCCAAATATTTAATATTAGAGGTAGACAAAAGATAGAAATGTATCAAAACATGCCTGAACATTTTCATAGGTTAAAGTAAGTTCGGCCTTACTGATTAAACACAGAAGGCATTTGCCTAGAATAGTAAAATGTAGAAGTGGAAATAAAAGTAGTAGTAATAGTTAAAACAATAAGTTGATGGGAAGAGGACTATTGATCAGAATAATACAGTAATATTTGTAGCGTCAATAATATCAAAGTTAAAACAATAAGTTGATGGGAAGAGGACTATTGATCAGAATAATACAGTAAAACTTGTAGCGTCAATAATATCAAAGTTAAAACAATAAGTTGATGGGAAGAAGACTATAGATCAGAATAATACAGTAAAACTTGTAGCGTCAATAATATCAAAGTTAAAGCAATAAGTTGATCGGAAGAGGACTATTGATCAGAATAATACAGTAAAACTTGTAGCGTCAATAATATCAAATTTAAAACAATAAGTTGATGGGAAGAGGACTATTGATCAGAATAATACAGTAATATTTGTAGCGTCAATAATATAAAAGTTAAAACAGTAAGTTGATGGGAAGAAGACTATTGATCAGAATAATACAGTAATATTTGTAGCGTCAATAATATCAAAGTTAAAGCAATAAGTTGATGGGAAGAAGACTATTGATCAGAATGATACAGTAAAGCTTGTACCGTCAATAATATCGAAGCAGTAGTTAGGCATTTTATTACGTTTCAATGCGTCATTGCTTAATGTTTTGTGAGCCGTAGCCAGTGCTGTGTTATTGTTGTAGCAAGTTCCAGAGTCTGGACTAGTGCACAGGTGGATGAGACATCTGCCACATGGGTAACGTTGAAACAAAATCAGTTCTTCCTTTCCATATTTAGTAAAATATTTTAAATCTATATGATGCCATAAGCACTTATCATCTGCTACATAGGTAGGGGTGATTGATGTAAATGATAGTTTTTTTCTTGTCTGAGTGCAGTGCAGATCTGCATAGAAACTGTTTTTTTTTTGCATTAGTTTTCATTGACTTTAATCAGCCTAATCACGTAAAAGAAATGAAAAATTAAAAAAATGATATGACCAAGAACTTTCACACGTAGAATTAGCTTATTTATTTATGTCGATTCCGAGTACAGGAAACAAAAGGCAGTTGAATTAAATTATAATGACTATGTTACTGAAGTTTCAAAATAGTGTAGTGGCCAAATGATTTAAGGCAGCTTCTTGTACTAAAAGGTACACTACAAGTAGGCCCGGCATGGTCAGGTGGTCAGGGCGCTCGACTAGCAATCTGCGGGTTTGAATCCCCGTCCCACCAAACACGCTCGCCCTTTCAGCCGTGGGGGGTGTTATAAGTAACGATCAATCCCACTATTCGTTGGTAAAAGAGTAGACTAAGAGTTGGTAGTGATGACTAGCTGCCTTCCTTCTAGTCTTACACTGTTAAATTAGGGACGGCTAGCGCAGATAGAAAAATAGAAAGTGCAAAATAAAGATTTTCATATCACGAATTCCGTTAATATAATGAAGCATTTTGACCGATCTCCTAAAATTCGTTGTAATAAAGAATAATTTATTCGCGATATGAACTTCTATCGTAATAAAGGTCGTTATTTTTTTTTTAGCGCAAAGTTATACAATGGACCACTTGCATTCTATCCACTGCAGGAAGGTCATAGATACGATAAAATATTTATCAATGCCTAATGGTATTTCATATGCAAGTTTAATCCTACAACAGTGGTGTAAATTCCCCCCCCCCCTCCTCCGTGGCACAGCGGTATGTCTGCAGACTTACAACGCTAGAAACCGGGTTTCGATACCCTTGGTGGGCAGAGCACAGATAGCCTTTGTGTAGCTTTGTGCTTAATTAAAAAAACTAACAAAACGTAAAATCTCTATTCTCTGGCGACTTCTGATAACAAACGCAAAATTTTTATTTAATAGATTCATGTTTAAAACTTTGATTAATTATAAATATCATATGAAGAATTTTACCATTTTTTTATTTTACGGTTCCTTAGGCGTTTATAAGTTTAATAATATATCATTATTGGAGAGAAAATAGGTTTAAAAACAATGACAAGGTTTATTTTTAATATCTTAAGTATTGTAGACTTGTCACATAATGAGGCAACTGTTAATATGATCACTAAACGAAAGATTGTGGGCTTCAGGTTCCTCGTTGAAAATGCTAGCCTGCTGTCTTTACGTCGTTTTTGGTATGGCCTTGGTAAGTATGTGTATTAATTTGATGGTTGAACAGCTGGTTGAGAAAGCCAGGTGGTTGGGCAAGGAAATTGGTCTGATCAAAGAAAATCCGGAGACAGATGAAGACGCCCAACCTTTAACAGCCTAAAGAAGATCAGATGAGGACATCGGCAACGGACAAGGACAACAAGTGATGTATTGGAAATCTGGGATTCTACGGGTTACTTTTCCAACACAATCAAAGTCTAGATACACTAATTTTATGGAATATAAACTTGCTTCACTGGCTTTATAAGTATTTGAGTAACTCATTTGAATCTCAAATGTTCTAACCTTTAGAAATTCTTATCCATATACACTGTTGTAGTTACCCGAGAAATCCCAGATTTCTGATTCCTTTTAAGTCTTTAAGAATAGAAATATTTGTTGATTAAGTATGTTTTTAGTCCATAGCTCTAGAGCTACAAATAACAACTGCTTTCTATTTCAGTACTTGTTAAGTGAAGTTCCCTCTCGGGAAATATTAATTGTGCACGTTTCCAGTATTAAGAGTGCACTCACGGGTTTAGTCTGAGGGTCACAGACCAAACCCACGGGTGGACTAATACATGTGATGTATTAAGTAAAAGAGATAAAATGGTAAAGAATATTAAGCTACAATGCATGTTTCTGATATAGAAATAAGATACGTTATTGTCAGTTTCAATCACTTATAATATGTTTTTATAACGAGTAATTCACGGGCATTGCTCTTCGGCGTGTTGGGAAAACTAACGTCTGTGGAGTGAATTACACACACACACACACACAGAGAAATATTTAGAAATGATTCAGAGGATCCTGTAAACGAGCAGTGAGGGCGAAGCCATCTTCATCTTTAACACTTAAGATATAGTACCAATCAAACGGATCAAATGATGTTTTCCCTGTCAAATTAATAAACACTATTCTTGGGTGAAATGAATTTAAAACAAATTGATGTCTTCAATCATTTTATAACTATTTTATTTTCCCTAATAATCTTATTAATATTTATTCAAACTAGAATATAAGCTAGTACCTCTATACAGAACTTTAAGTTATCTTGAGCTTTGTACAAGTAAGATTGAACACTTTGTTGCGTAGTTTGAGGTGCAACACTACAGTTTTGAATATGCACCCTTTTCTTATCAGTGCCTTACGTATTTCTATGATCAGATTAATAGTGCTCAGCGTGTGAGATTGTATTGTGCTATAACGAAATAAAAGCCTTCTGTGCAAATCATCAATTTGTACCTTACTATTGACATTAAGACACAATAATACACATTTGTGATGGTAGAGGGCGCTGTTGAAACGTTACTATTGACTTATGCTTACAATGTCTCAATTTTCGACATATGTCACACACAAATATATAGGTCGGGGCTTAGGGAATCCAAATAGACATACTACGGAAAGTAATCCTGTTGTACTTCATGCGGAGATAATTACGCAATTTAAAGCGGATACTTAGAACAGTTTTAATGTCAAGCTGGTCCGGTGATTTTGTAGATACAGCTTAATTATTAAGAGTTTTGGAAGTTTCGTTTAATTTGACCGAGGGGTTTGCTATGGATACTTAATTGATCACGGACACATTTTTACGAGTCTCCAACTTTTGATGTACCCGCTAAAAGTAAATAAAAGCTGATCTTTATATTAACCTTAATGAACACTGCAAGTAACAATTGATCTACACAAAACGCTGCGGTTTATTTGTTGAATTTCTAGTAAAGTTACTCGATGACTATCTGTGCCAGCCGTTCTTAATTTTGAATTGAGAGACTAGAAAAAAGGCAAACAAACAGTGGGCTCTTGACTGCCACATTGTAACGCATCGATGACTGAAAGGACAAGCAGGATCAGCGACATCCTAATCACCAGGTCTATTGTGGATTAACAGGTAATCCAAGATCACCGCAGTGAGCATTATTCTGCAAGATTCAGCGTAGGGAGGAAGGAAGAGAAGAACCCTCAAATAAAGACGATTGTCAAACCCCAAAAACTGCCTTGGACACGGTAACTCCCTATCAAGATGGTCACGAAATTACAGGAATAGCAGTTAGAAAAACTGGACATTGATTGGCTGCTATAAAAAAAAACAAAAAAAAACTAATGGAACTAGTACGTAAAACAGAATCAAAAAGAGTGGTCCTTTACATTGTGGGAGGACACATCAGTGATAAGGCTGGTTGTCTCTTGTAGTTTTGGGATACTTCGTGGTTAAGATATAGGATTGTACTTGCAAATTTAGTCTCTGGAGGGCGTAGGAAACTCCACAACAAAAATTATCTACAGATAAAACTTCATTCAGAGTGGTGTTTTGGGTAGATACCAATCGCAATGCTTAACAGCGGTCTATAGTTCACAGTTAAAAAATAGAATCTTCTATGATCAATGTTAATTATCTATTAGTAATCAGTAGCGTACTCATTTAAGGTATATTACATTAAATTTCAGAGAAACTGAAAAATGAAGTTGTGGACAAGTTTATTAATAAGTTTTCTCAGTGTTTATTTTTAGATAAAGTTAGGATTTAATTATCATAGTACAAGTTTATTAATAAGTTTCTCAGTGTTTATTTTTAGATAAAGTCAGGATTTAATTATCATAGTATAAGTTTAGTTTTGAATAAATAATTTAAATATGTAAAACATTTTTTTATAAAACAAGCAAACTATGAGTTAGCTATTATTTACAAAGAGGGACATTTTACTATTTTAACACCATGACATAGTACATACATAGGATGTTAGTGTGCAATTTTATCACAAGGAAGTAGTATGTGTTCGGATCTAACCTTGAAAATAGCCAATGTTTAAAAAATGACATCAACAACCATATTGAAAAGTATATGGCACAAATTGACTGAAACTCAAAATAACAACCTCATAACATCACACTTGCTATATTCTACTTTGCACTATTCAGATCACAATGTCTATTTTTAATTGATCATTGTCCTAACATATGCAATGCAGAGTTGATTCATTTACAATTATTTGTTATTTATGGACAAAACGTAGTGGGGGGGGGGGTTATCTCAACTTCAGTATATTTCAAAATATTTATAAATGCTTGACAAGGAAAAATTATTTTAGTTCATCCTACCGAGATATACCCTACACACCGAAATGTTTCTCCAATTCACCAAGATAAAAAGTTATTATTTTGCTAACAACATTTTATAGTTATTGATGATTCATAGTTGTTTTTAAAATATCCTAATTTTAAAAAGAATAATTTATCATGATTTTAGAAGAATGCTTTGACTTAGCACCAGTTCCCCGTGGCTTTTAAAGAAATGTGTCTATTACTAGCCCACCATGATTGTAAAGTTGTGTGTTGGGAATCCCTAGTGTCTGTCTGATTCCATACTTTCAAGCAAAATTACTGTTTTGTATGTTTTTAGAAGATAGTTTTAGATCCTCATGAGACTTTTTTGTGAAATACCAGTGTCAAGTCAGATACTTCCTTGTTAGCCAATTGATAATTTACAAAAAAATATAAAAAATGTTTATCATAAAACACTAGCAACCAATAAATTAATTTTTATGCTTTAAATAAAATAAATAAAATGTAGACCTTTTTCTTATAAGAAAACTATGCTGTGTCTCAAGCTACTAAATAAAATAAAGTGCACTTATATCACACTTCAAACATTGTCTTCAGTCAAAAAAAAAAAAGTAGAAAGCATGCAAGGAAGAGTGGTGCTTTGGACATGAAAATCTTATGGCAGAGCTTTTTGCAATGGAAACTACAGTGAAGGATGATTGACAAGATGCATGATCATCAGACAGAGCATTACCAGTTATGTTGTTCTGTATCTATTTACACTATTTCAACTAAAATTTTCTACAACAAATACTTAAAACATTTATGTGCAAAGATTTTATGATCAAAAGTTTTATTATTTTTCAAAATCATATTGCTTAATATAAAAACCACTTCAGCAGCTTACATAATTTTACACCTTGATATCTCTCATATATTTATATAAATTAAAAACACATTTTTAAGCTTGTTTTTTTCTATATAAATATAAGTAATAAAACTACAATAATGCCATAACTAGTTAATGTTAACTTTTAATTGATCTTAATTCCTTCAAAGCATCTACATACATTTCCGTTTTTTTAATATCACTTCTACATGTGGTAAAATAACCACCAGAAACATTTAAAGGACTTATTTTAACACATTATGTGGTTTTACAATGCTTACATATACTTCTAAAAAAATATTCACACAAAAAAAATCTTTGGAGATGTCGCTTTATCCTAAGGAAAAAAAAAGTAATAAATCACAAAAATTTAAAACATGTACAAAGCATAAAAACATAGTTCAAGTACAAAAGACACAGTCTCATAGCTACTAGTCAATTAAGCAAACAGGTTTCTATTTAAGAGATGCTCGACTTTGGTTGGAATATCGTCACATAACGTGATGACGGAGCTGAAAAAGTCACAGCCATTCTGAACATGATACATCAGTTATTTTATTATCAACAGTGAATAAGTAGTTAAAATGAAAGTTTGTTGGTTAACTTTGACCTTTAGGTTTGTCTTGTTTTTAAGCACAAAACTAAATAATGAGCTATCTACACTGTGGGTAATGAATCCTGATTTTTTAATGTCATAAGTCCTTGAACTTGCCACCAGGTGGAATGACCTTCAGGATATGTCCTGTTATTTTGAGAATTATCACAATTCAGTTTCTGCAACTTAAGAAACAAAATTCTAGAACAAGTTTTTTTTTTTATTATTTCCAAAAATTTGATTTAATAAGCTGCAGTTTTTCAGTGCTAAATGACTATTAAAAGTATTATATGTGCTTTAACGACTGTAGTAGATTTTTGTTTAGCCAAGAGTAGCATTACTATAAAATACATTAGAACAAGGGTGCTTTTATTTGTGATTCAAGCACGAAACTTCATTTACACTTTAATATTAACTTAAAATAAAATTTGGGGTAAACATTGTGTGTAAATTATGTTGGAAATAAGGAACACAATAAAAGATTTAAATGTACTTTTAGAGTTTCCTTACAGTGAAAGAAGCAGTTTTCAGTTTGGATTAAGAAGTTATTTGTATGCACTGTTCTACTCATAAATAGAAACAAACTTTAGAAAGAAAAAAGTAACAATACTCGGATATTACATAGTTATACTTTTCATATTCAGCACTGTGTGTACACGATACATTTTTTAGGTGTTACGTAACATAGCTAGTTATTAAGTATTATGTAATACTGGAATACCTGAGCTAATACGTGGTAAAAGTCACAATTATTTAATTATGTACTACAAGCCCACTTATTTACCAATAGTGTGTTACTAAATCCAGTTATTTACCAATTGTGTTACAAGATCCACTTATTTATCAATTGTGTGTTACAAGCTCCAATTATTGTTTGTAATAAACAGCCCCAATTATTTATTTAATTTGTAATACATGCTGTTATGTCATACAAGCCATAATTCTTCATTGATTACATAATAAAATTCACAATTATTCAGCTATGATGTCATACAATTCACACATTAATTACTGTGCTGTATAAATCATGTTATAAAAAAAAATCCACCAAGATTTAGCATGTTACACAGTATATACCAGTAATATTCCTCTAATGTATAACCTAACGTAGATAATAAATGTCCAAGTATAATTTAATTGATTTGAAAATAATAAAGATTCAGCCAGGAAAATGGGTATTTGTAAGATACATCACATTTTAAAGATTCAGCCAAAAACAAAACAAAACAGGTATTGGTAAGATACATCACAGTTTAAAGAATTGAAAATAATAAAGATTCAGCCAGGAAAACGGGCATTTGTAAGATACATCACATTTTAAAGATTCAGCCAAAAAACAAAAAAAACAGGTATTGGTAAGATACATCACAGTTTAAAGAATTGAAAATATTAAAGATTCAGCCAGGAAAACAGGTATTGGTAAGATACATTTTAAAGAAGGGTGACTTGCATCAAATCAGACTAGAGTTGATTTAACACTGTTGTAATTTCTTCATATTTTATTTGTTAAGGTGTTCAAAAACATGCATAAGTATCCACAGTTTGTATTTAAATGAATAGTATTTCAACCTTATGGCACTTAATGTTCAGAAGCACATAGACATGTACAACCACTTACAGCATGCAGATTCAGGCTTTTCTAGAAACACATTTCATGCATCCTTTTATACAATGAAAGCACTTTTGCAACCACTAAAGAAAACTAGTCAGAAGTAATATCAAACACTTCAAAGTTATTTTAATTTATTATTTTTAGATCCAATAACAACAAAAAGCATTCTCAACCTATCTGTTTTTAACTTGGATGTCCGAGGTCAAATTTTTTCAACTAAGGTGTATAATGAGGTAGACATTAATTACCTTATTACCCTTCTAATGTACGCATCTATAATGAATTAACATTTATAATGATACGAGAATTCAGAATCGAAGTGACTAAAGGTTTTATATCCATGTTTGTAATATCACGCGAGGAAAGCTCACAATAAACTCTCAATAAAGAAATGAAAATCAGATTTGAAATGACAACATTTTCTTTATCCATTTTTATAACATCATGTGAAGTTTACAAAAAAAACTCTTAAAGAGGAAAGAAAAGAAAAAGAGAATACAGATTCTAAATGATTGTAGTTTTCTTATCCATTTCCATAATATCAAGTGAGGAAGTTCACAAAAAAACTCAGAAAAAGAAAAAATTTCATCCATAAATATTTACCTTATAATAGTCTGAAACATTACTTAGAATATTCTCCAAAATTAGCTTCAAAATTTAAAAAAATGTCATAACTAAATTTATTGTTTAGTATTACACTATCTCTTGTATATGATTTGTTAAAATTTCTTCATTCTGTAAAAATCTGAAAGAACATAATTTATGTCACATAGCCAATATTATTTACCAGTGGTTTTATTTATATTACAAGCTTACTGTAGTATAAACAATTTCATTGCTCAAAAATTTAAATTAAGGACAAACTTGTTTATCTAGACCAGATAAAATATTAGTTGAAAAGTAGCTTAATATACGTAGGCAAAGAGTTAGATGAATCGATGAGTAAATACCACAAATATCATGCAAACTAGTACATAAAACTAGTCTAAGTAACTACAATCATAAGACGAATGACATGCAATACAATTGGTAAAAACAACACTTAAGAGCTTATGAAAGACAAAACAGAAGAATCACATAACATTATTGTATTAATTTACAAAACACAATGATGATATAAACATCAACCACAATTCCTCAAATTGTGTGATGTTGGACATTCTTAGTCTATACTTATAAGAACAAAAAACAAACCAATTCCCTTTCATCAGAGAAAGGTAGTTTACCAAATCTATTGAAAAAGCCTAAAACTGCTTGACGGCTTCATCAATGTTATCAATATGTGACTTCAGAGCCTTCCACTGGTCGAGATTAAGACAGATACCTAAGTAGATTTACAAATTATATTATACCTTCAGCATATTTAAGTGTTATAAACTAACTAAAAGACATGACTATCTTGATAATAATACTAAAACTACAGAGAAGAAAAGGACTTCAGTACTTAACTAACTGTAATTTGTATCAGATACACTAATGTACAGAGAATAATGAATACAAGTCAATCTATGGATTACAATTTAATAAACTTATAACATGTTCACTTTCATAGGAACTAAGCAAATGGAATTTGATGCCTAGCCACATACCATGAAGTTGAAAAATTCACTTTATTCAATAACAAGGGGATGTCCAAACTACCGATGATCAATTTAACCACTCACTTGCTTATCAGATGTAATTAAGAGGTGTTGTTAATGAGATCATACTTAATTGGCCTGAACAGAAACCATTCAACACTTCAATGACTCATGTTACAATTATAACTGTATGAGTTTTAAGTGTAAAGGCAAATCAAACAGCTATTGATAATTTCTAGCTCTAATGTAAATATCAATATTATTATTTGATTACCAAAATTTATCAGTCCCGAGGTGATGGTTGGAAAATATCTAATTATTGCACCCTGCTGATAGATATAATGTTATAACCCCAGTACTTATCTGTTAATTAAGGTGTCCAAAAGATAACATAATCATAATTACAAGAGAAGACACGACGTCACTTGCTCTCTATCAAGCATCTAAGGATATTTCTCAGTATAATCACAGTCAACAAGAGCACTTCAGTTGTGGTGCTCAAGATGTGTGAAAACACTGATATCCAGTTGCTACATCTCACTCAGTCACATAATTTACATTTAAATTATTAAGAAGCTTTACTAAATACACATGCAAGTATTTTAATGCTCCTTTCAAGAATTAAGTTAATTTTTTCTTCTATATTTGAATATGGATAGCATAATGAGAGTGCCACTATGCTCTTGGAGAAATATTTACAAGAGTGAAATAAACATTCTGTGAAGGAAGTGTGCCACTGTCTCATTTCTATGCCTAAGCTAGCTATAGAAACAATACAAATCATATTGTTTTTGAAATATGTGATACAAAATCAGTTGTAATAGATACAGGGTGGGACAAAAATTACAATACCGTTGATAAAGTTAGTACTACAGACTATTACAAAAACAAAACTGAAACCAGTTCAACAGTTGTTTGCATTAGTATATTGGTTAGAAATCAAGTTACGTTCGAAATGAAACAACTGTAAAGTTACTTTTCCTCCACCATGTAAAGAAACGCTATTAAAATGATAAAGATTAAAAATTAACCCGTTCAACTTGGTTAATAAACAGTCCTTAATTATTTATAGAATACTTGAATAAACTCATAGCAAGAATTACAAGAGGTTTTTGAAAAGTTGTTGTTGATGCTCAGTGAAGATAGAATACTCCAACTAAGCCCCAAGAAATGAAACAGGTTTAGTTCAAAAGCTGAAGGTAATGTTCAGAGTAGGCTGAATACTTTTACTAATCCCTCAGTAACAAAACAGGCTTAGTTCAAAAGCTGAAGGTAATGTTCAGAGTAGGCCGAATACTTTTACTAATCCCTCAGAAACAAAAAGGCTTAGTTCAAAAGCTGATGGGGATGTTTACTGTAAGCAGAATACTTTGACTAACTTCTCAGAAACAAAACATGCTTAGTTCAAAAGATGGGGGGTGATGTTCAGAACAGGCAGAATACTTTGACTAACCTCTCAGAAACAAAACATGCTTAGTTCAAATACTGATGGGGACGTTTAGTAAAGGCAGAATAACTATATATCATTAGATGTAATTAAATCAACATGGTTAAAAAAAACTGATGATGAATTCATAACAACATTTAAAGAATACTTACATATTAGCTGCCAGACAAAAAATTAATTTTTATATCTATTCATCTTTCATGTTTATATTAAGTTGTTCAGTCATTTTTGGACCATCTGTTTTCACATTAAGCTGACATTTTTAGTTTGCTTAACTTCAACATATGGCTGCTATTTCCGGGTCTGCACTTCTGCTCATTGAAAGAATCTTAACGATACAAATTCTGAGCTATGAATCACATGGAGTTCACCTTAAGCATATTATTCATTATGAGTTACTTGCTTTTACTTAAAGGACACTATTCACTATGAATCATGTGGCTTTACCTCAAGGATACTATTTACTATAAATCATGTGGCTTTACCTCAAGGATACTATTTACTATGAATCATGTGGCTTTACCTCAAGGATACTATTTACTATAAATCATGTGGCTTTACCTCAAGGATACTATTTACTATGAATCATGTGACTTTACCTCAAGGATATTATTTACTATGAATCATGTGGCTTTACCTCAAGAATACTATTTACTATAACTCATGTGACTTTACCTCAAGGATATTATTTACTATGAATCATGTGGCTTTACCTTAAGAATACCATTCACTATGAGTTACTTGTCTTTACCTTAAGGATACCATTCACTATGAGCTACTTGACTTTACCTTAAGGATACCATTCACTATGAGTTACTTGACTTTACCTTAAGGATACCATTCACTATTAGTTACTTGACTTTACCTTAAGGATACTATTCAAAGTCACAAAGAGTAGGGAGATGTCACTATTCTATACTTCACTGATAGTATCATTATTTAGAATATACTGATAAAAGTACTAGTCTTAATTTTCACTCCTGCTCCCCATATAAAAACAATAAATCTCAAAGAGTAATATGTTTAATAGAGATTGTTGAAATAATCAGATCACTACTGACAAACTTAAACGATACTACAAGCAAATAAAAATTGCTTACGAATACAGCAGACCAAAATCCATAACAATACTGGCAAACATCTTACACACATACCTTTTTTACCAGGTTTCAAGTCTCCATCTGATTCATAATACTCTCTGATGTCCACCATAACCTTTCCTCGAAATTCCCTAACACTGACAAACCGCATCTTGGAAAGCTAAAAATACAAGGAACGTATTACTTAAGCAACAATCACATGTTCGTCAAAATACAACATTATAAGGTTTTTTTCATGAAAACATCATAAGTCTGAATTCCAAGTTTCATTGTTTCGTTCACACATTTAAAGTTGTCACACATAATGGTTCTGACAAAACTGTCAGTTTCTCACAGATAGGGAACTATTACTGATAACCAGCAACTACGTCAATATCTAACTTGCAGATATGTGTAAAATGAATGTTCAACAAGAGATAGTTCGGTATTGGTAATGTTTCTGGTATCTAGAAGCTGGATCAGTTTTGACGACTCCTGACAATGTGGGTAACAAATGAATGTTCAACAAAAGATAGTTCGGTATTGGTAATGTTTCTGGTATCTAGAAGCTGGATCAGTTTTGACAACTCCTGACACTGTGGGTTGCAAATGAATGAGAAGCTGTGGTGTGAATAGTTTTTGTTGTTAAACAGAAATTGATCAGAATATGACAGAAATTCTCTTTACATAAGTTAATAGCTAGAAAAACTATATCACCATATTAATTAGAGTAATATTTTGCACAAAAGTGTAGCCTAAAATCTATCAGAGTGGGTCCTGAATTATAACTTACACCAAAGACATTTTTTATAGAGCTGGGTGATTAACTCAACCTAAGAACAATTACATAGTTTAGTGTCAGGTAAAAAAACAACAACATTAATTCAAATTACAATTAAATCCAGTAATGTCAAGTAAATAATCAACTAATGAAAAATCGGGTTTCGATTATTCCAACTACCCAAGTCTCTTGAGAGTAAATAATTAACTGAATGTAACTGATTAATGAGCTCAATGATTAATCGATTAGCAAATTCCACTAAACATTCAGCTCTAAGGTATATACACACACACAATACTATAAAAACACAGAATGTAATAAAATGTATAAATCAATAAAAAAAAACAACACCAAACAAAAGAACTAGCTTATGGTGTGGAGACTGTTCTATAGTTTGTCAATCTATATACATGTGCGAATATTGATAACAGTTTTTGTTAGAAATAAAGATACACACACATCAGTTTTATGAATGAGATTAATTTTCTATAATTCCAAATTAAAATGAATTCACTGTCAGATTATTTATTGCCTTTATACAGTTGGTTTTTAAGCTTGCTTGTTTGCAATTAAGCACAAAGCTACACAATGGGCTATCTGTTCTCTGCCCACCATGTGTATCGAAACCAGGATTCTAACGTTGTAAGTCCGCAGAAATACCACTGTACTACTGGGGGGGCTGGTTTTTAAGACTTATAAAATAGGTAAATTAATATGTAGAATTATACACAGACTGTTCTCTACATTCAAATACTTTTATTTGTGAGCTTTTGCCAATTTTACTGGAGCCTTCATTGGGTAAGAAGACCAAAAGATCACAAGTAAAAGAAAAATATTTTAATGTAGAAACAGTTTGTATATAGTTATACACAATATGCATTGTAACATTTGTTCCCCTTTTCACTTATGTGTATTTCATTCTCAGAAGTTTCAAACTCAGCAGCATGTGGTATACTTTATACCTATGGGATAGCATTTCAAAATTAATGCTGGATAACAAAACTTTGTTTACTTCAAGTTAAATGTTTAAAATGAACCACAATAATAGTCATGTTTATAAAAAAAAAGAAAATCTCATCCTTTATCCAATCTTAATAGATTTAGCTTGTCTGCAAAGAACATGTGTAGGAAGCCTGAATGTAAATGTTGCATTTTTGGCAGCTGGTGCCATGTTTTACAACTTAAAGCCTTCTGGACAATGTATGTTCACTATTAATAGTCACAAATAGGATTTTTGTAAATGTTGCATTTTTGGCAGCTGGTGCCATGTTTTACTACTTAAAGCCTTCTGGACAATGTATGTTCACTATTAATGGTCACAAATAGGATTTTTGTAAATGTTGCATTTTTGGCAGCTGGTGCCATGTTTTACTACTTAAAGCCTTCTGGACAATGTATGTTCACTATTAATGGTCACAAATAGGATTTTTGTAAATGTTGCATTTTTGGCAGCTGGTGCCATGTTTTACTACTTAAAGCCTTCTGGACAATGTATGTTCACTATTAATGGTCACAAACAGGATTTTAGGTCGTACACGTAGAAATGTTATACACGAGTCAAAGGAAGTCATTAGTTCACTCTCTATTAGCATGTGTGTTTAGCTTTCATAAGAGTTCCTTTATTTACAAAAAGATGTTGAGTCGTTGGAGTCGTTCAGAGGCAAGCTATAAGGATGACTCCAGGTTTGGAGGATTTAACATACTTAGATAGGTTTAAGTATCTTGCTATATTTCCTTTAGTGAAGAAAGGCTTAGGGTGATGTGACTGAGATTCTTGACAGTTCTTAGAATTAATTATGTAGTTTTTCTCCCATTAATGCAGTGGTTGCTTGATTAGCTCTGGGAACGAGAAGGCTAGCTTGCTGGTTTAGCAGTTATTCTGAATATTAGTACAATTAATTCAAATAAAATAATAAAAATAAACAAGTAAAAAATAATATTGTGTTGTTAATTCTTAGCCAGAAAATATGACTTGTAAATAATTTATAATAAAATTGTTAATAATTACAATTCATTTACTTGATTTAGTTCATTCGCACCGTAAGAGCCATTGTTCATGAAAATTGATAATATAAACAGCTCCTAGACCACTACCATCTGTTGTATTCCAGCTCTCTGACGAGCCTTGATATTGAACAAAAGGCCTTGTTAGCACTGGAAATGGCATGTGTAGTGTGGTCGACATATAATACATTCTACTTTGCTTTCACTCATATCTTCTTTGAATTTCCAAACAATTTACAGGCAATAAGGCTAGAGGATGCAAATTGAAGATATGGAAAAGTCTGACAAAGTTACAGTTAAGGCAGCATTATACTATGGAACAGTTTGCCTTCAGTTGTGGTAGCAGCAGTAACACCAAAGGAATTAAAGGAAAATTAGTTGAGTATTTTGAAAATCGGGGTTGGACATAAGAAGAGAGGTATCTATATGTAGTTTGTCGTTGGGTTATGGTACAAAATGGCCTTATGTTTTATTTGGAAATGACATGAACTGTAATATGGCCAGAAATTTGGGACTACTAAATACTACATTGGAATTTGATAGTTCTACTGTCTGATTTGAAAAGTCCTTTTATACTTCATTTACACTTAGACAAAAACATAATATATTTTACAAATTTAGATAAAAATATTCTACACAACAAACAAACAAAACTGTATATCATTATATCAAAAAACAAGTTCTGATAAGTGTTTACTTGAGAATTAAAATTGAGAATTTACAGCAATTAAAATATTTTATCAGATAACATTTCCAAGATGAGGTGTACATCATTAACATCACAGGTCCTGAACTAGTAAATATTAGAAAATTAAATGTGGATCACAAATAAAATGTAATTTTCATATGACAAGGAGAGATTTATGTTTACCTGAGAAAAAGTATATGATTGAAGTATGAATATACTGTTTCTTACCTGAAACATAGAGTCCTCACTTTCTTGTTTTGATTTTGATACCTTATCAGTCTTCACTCTTTTGGGAGGAGGATTTCTCTAAAAATTTGAGTATTAAATAAAAATACAGAGTAATGCAAACATACAACTAGTTCTACTTAAAGTTCACAAAACTGAAATAAACTTTGAAGTCGTGCAAACAAATATAAGCTTTGCTTAATCAACAAGTTTTTTCTCCAGATGTTTACTAACTAAAGATGTGAGCTGGAATATTTTTACATTTTTTTTTTAATTCATATGCAACAGCTTGACTATAGTCTCTAATTCTTGTTGTTGAAATTGACTAAGTTACAGGAAGTTAGGTTCATTACGATTCTTCAGTTGGAAATAATTTGTGGGATGCAAGTATGGTTTTATATTTATTGTTTTGTTATTAGCCAACAGTGTCAAAACTGTGAACTGTCTGTGATTGCCCTATGATCTATACTTAGTAGCTATATTTCATTTGAAAGCCTAGTTTAGAGAAGTATAATATAGTCTCTCTTCATTTTCAATTCTAATTTAGGCTTAATACTTTGTTCCTAGACAAATGGTTTCTAGAATTTTCTATAGATCTGTTTTCTAGGCCTAATGTATGTGTATATGTGTAATTTGACTAAATACATAGCTGAACATAATTTATGAGGGAGAAGTTCTACGAAATTCTTTTATAAGCTTCAGTCAGCTTTAATAAGAGAGAGAGGAGTAAATTTTTCTTTATAATACAAACGACTGCACCATCAACCAAACTCATAACACTATACTAGTAGTTTTAAGTGGTATGTATAAGAAGTGTAAATAAAGCCAAATTCAGGCTTAAAACAGTTAAAACTGAAAACAAAACCTTTATTGTTAGAGTTAAATGTTAGAACTACTGCACATTTTACAATCACCAGCTGAAACTTATCAATCTATAAACTTACAATAAGGTACTAAAACTTCTGTATGTAACTAAACAATTAAAGACAAGAAAAGCTAAGGAACAATATATAATAATTTTGAAATCTGTAAAACACAATGTCCTTAGAGCTACCTACATACAGTAAAACTGTGGCAAACACATGAAATATGTAATGTTTTTTTTTTTGGACAAAATTTTAGGGTTAACTCCTAAAAATGGTTTCTTTCTTTTTCAATGCATGTAGGGACTCTAATGATGTATTAATTTTAGATAACTGTAATTCTTATTCGTTCTGTTCTAAGATTTATTGATGTTTTATTAACAAGCTTAGTTTAAACAATCTATTTGAGCCACATATAAACTGATATACTACATGCACATGAAGTATAGATATGCATACATATACAAGATCATCAAGATTAAGGCTTACACTGACAAAAGACACGTAATAACAGTAAGTTCACACATAAATGTATTTTCTGCTTGAATAAATTATACTGGAACCAAAAAAAAGAACTATCATACATCATCGGGTCCTGAATCAGAGTCACTGGTAGTTTGGAAGACTAGAAAGTAGTTTTTCAAATTATATTTCAGAATTATTTCTTTGTTTGCAGGAAAGTTTCCAGGCATGTCTAGTAAAAAAGAAAAAAAAGCAGTTTCCACCCTCCACTACTGCAGATGACAACACATAAGCTGATCACCCTTTTATAAAAATATAACTAATTGAGCTGGAGTTTAGACTGTATTTTGAGAATCTGAAGCTTGTGTCCTCTGATCTTATTATGTTCAGAATATAACACAAAGAAATCAGAGACCTCTTATCATGTCAATTCCTTATATATATCTTTGTAATCCTTCAATAATATCACCATTTATTTTTCTGTTTTCAAAAGAAAGATATCTTAACCTATCACTACAAGATAATCCTTCCATCCCTGGAATCATCATTATAGTCCTCCTCTGAACACTTTCCAGCAAATCTATATCATTTCCAAAATGCAAAATGAAATCAGTATAAATAGTGAATTTTTGAATTTAAATTGTTTCTTTGTTTTTTTAATTTTCTCAAGGAAGGGTATGTAAAGATAGTCTTGAAGGACCAAATGGCATCACTGTTACAGGTTATTATAAAACCTATAAAAAAAATAACTTCTTATACTCTTTATCCCCATAAGGTAGCTTTACAATTCAGAAAGTCAATGTAGCAGCACTCCCCTGAATCCTTTTCACTAAGTCAATATCCTTTCTCACAGTACTACGTACAGTTTTAGTTTTGTTATTTAGGTAATACCTAACCAGTGATTTCTATAATGAGAGAATTTCCTCTTTTGACTCATAATCAATGTCAAATTCTTTTAGTTTTGCTACTACAATAGAGTAAATAACTCAATGGCTTGAATGACTTATCCATCACTATGCCAAGATCATTTTAATCAGCCTCAAGTGGGTTTCCTTCTAGGTCGAATGTGGTCAAAATTATTATGCTCAAATGGATTATCTTGCACTTACTGTAATTAAAGATAATTTCCAACTAACCAGCTGATCAAAGTCAGTATGTAGTTCTCAGCATTCTTAATACATCATCTGTAAATTTTACTAAATTACTAATTATGCCACTATCATTATCATAAGTAGGAAAAAGGTAATGCCCAAGCTATGAACCATAAGGCACTCCACTATTAACGGTTTGATTAGACTCCATTAAAAAAATATTTTGCCCTCTCTCTTCTACCTGCCCAACAATATTATTTACTACTCTTTCCCAAGCCCCTTGCCAATGAGATTTTCTTTTCTAATTTTATGTTCTAATTTTCTAGATGATTTTACAAAGCTTCTTTTATAAGACTCTTAAGTATTTTCATATTATAGAAGATTAACTGGCCTATAATTTTCTGGGCATGTGTTTCTAACAAAAACCTTGCCATCAGCATCCTTTGCAGGTCAAATCCAAATTTTAACATTAGGCTTACCTTTAATATTCTCAAATTGAAAAGAATCCAATCATTTACTCTTACTAATACTAGTGTTAACATTACTACTACTACTACTACTACTACTACTAGTAATACTAGACAGCTGCTTCGTTCTCATACGAGTCATAGTCATAAGCTCTTTGGATTCTCATTTCTTTTACTTTTAGCTTTACAACCAGATCCTAGTTTCCTGTAGTTCTATAGTGTAAATCATCCATGCACAGTCTACATTTTGAATATATTAATTAATTAAGTTAGCTTAGCACATTAACTTAAGACTTTAAGAAACTATGTTATCGAGTTATCCGTTATTAACTTAGAAGTTATTGCATAATGCATAGGCCACCTTATCAATCAAGAGTTGAAAAACTATTATTTACTAATTAGTAATTTCTATTATGTTAAACACGGTTCTTCATATGTTTGAATAGTTTTCTACTGACATTCAGAATCATAATATACATATATCAACAATATAATTACTGAATCAACATATGATATATTCTTACCAATTCGATAATAAAACTCAATTCTGAAACCCAAACCTCCAAGTAAAACTTTGC